CTGCTGATCTAGCAGTAGCCTGCAGTGCTGCATTTAACCACTGCGCCACCTTGGCTCTTCTGGAGTGGTGGGCACATCTTCTGGAGTGGTGGGCATCTTCTGGAGTGGTGGGCATCTTCTGGAGTGGTGGGTACAATGAGATATATATCTGCCAAACAAAACTCTACACCGGAGACAGGAAGGGCATCCGTCCAGTAAACACTCTGCTAGTTCCAGTTGCCCAGACACCACCCTGCAAGGGATTATGGGTTGTTAAATGAGGACATGATGATCTGGAACATCTGCTCAGGGCAAAAAAAAATAAACCCCACTGAATTAATGGGGTATCCAAGATCTAAAGCAATGCTATCAAACTTGGCAAAGTTTCAAGAATCCTATGGAGATTCTCAGTCATCCATGGTTGTTTCAAAGGTGCTTTTTTCAAGAGGCAACTGGACTTTCTGGTGAATTTTCAAAGAGAATTCTGGTTGTTTTTTTCTTTGAAAATTCACCAGCAAGTCCAGTTGCCTCTTGAAAAAAGCACTTTTGGGACTTTCAAGATGTACGGACTTCAACTCCTAGAATTCCCCAGCCGGAGTGTTGAAGGCCACACAACTTCAAAGTTGCCAAGTTTTGAGAAACGCTGATCTAGAGGTTGCCAAATTGGCTCCTTTCTCTCTGCTTGGTTAGCAATATTGTGGTTAGCAGAATGGAAGCGGGCAAGAGAAGACAACCGTAGGTTAGAATTCGTTAGGTAACCTCCCTCCCAAAAATGCATTGTAGTGGGGTTTTTTTTTCCTTTGCATAAATTAAATTTACTCACAGGATGGAATTCTGTTCTGCCAGCAGTTGTGGCTATAAAGCAGCTGTGTAGACTTTTAATCTGTTACCTTCCTGATTATTCTTCCTCCACCCATCTCTGTGACTTTGCACATTAATCTTCTAATGTAGACATTTAGTTGATTACAGAGGCTCTTTAAATACTCTCCCAGCCTATCAAGTCTGTGGAAATCCTGTATCTTTTCATTTCAGCATAAATGCTTTGCTGAGTGGATTGCAGTGAGAATTTTTTAAAAATGCAATAATATTTATATCATGTCATTTTAAAGAGGGAGATTCTACTTTTTAGTATGTTTAAATTATGGAAAATAAGAGGAAATCAGTAAAAAAAAAATCACTAATGCAAGCATAATATTATTTAACCTTATCCAATGATAAGGCACTGCATAGCAGAGATGGTATTCTGCCAGTTCGCCCCGGTTCAGGAAAACCGGTAGCGGCAGCTGCAGGCTCCGCCCACCCGCTTAGATGTCATCACGGACGCTCTGCGCATGCGCAGAAGGTTCTATGCACGCGCAGAAGCTCCCAGTTCCAAACCAGATAAGAGGAAACCATTACTGCTGCATAGCATATCAAAATAGTAGCTATGTGACAATAATTTCAGTCTGGAACTAAATACTTACTATTAAGGTCTCCATTGTATTGTTAATGTAGCATATATATATTTGTATGTGTGTGTGTGTTTATATAATACGTTGATGAAATAAAAGGCAGACGAAGCAAATTTAACGAAAGTAGAATGCCTTATCTTACCTTTGAAATTATTCCTTCCAACCCCTAAAAATAATGAGCTTATTTGCTATTGCTCTTATAAAATGTTCATTAAGACTGATGGATTTCAAGTCCCATAGGATTGTATAATATGTATTGATACTTAGAATATGTGAAATGTCTGGATCAGATATCAAGTTGTCCCAAATGTGCTCCCCCCCCCCCCCAAGAAGCAACTGGACTTTCTGGTTTTTCTTTGAAGACTTTTTGCTGAGTTGTGAAATTCAATTTTTTTTACTACGGGTTCTGTGGGTGTGGCTTGGTAGGTATGCCAGGGGAAGGATATTGCAAAATTTCCATTTCCTCCCCATTCCAGGGGAAGGATACTGTAAAATCTCGATTCCCACCCCAGTCCAAGGGAAGGATACTGCAAAATCTCCACTCCCTCCCCACTC